TCAATATAACCCATCTTGCAGCGAATTTTCACTTGGGATATTCTCGTAATATTTCTCTCTCTATTGACTAATTGCTAATACAAAAAACATAACTTGTTCGTATACTGAGAATCGCTTTTGTCTGCCCTCTCGTTTCCTCCCTGCCTCCAATTCCGTTTTCTTTGATCTCTGAGTCTGTTAGAAACGCGCAATTAGTGATCCCGTTTTCTATTTTTCTTATTTTTTCCGATTGAAGTCTGTTGTCAACACCGCCAGCATTACTGTTCCCTATTTCTGTTTTCCTCAGATTCCCGTGGCAGCGTTAGAGATGACACCAACGACCCACGCTGCGACAGAAATGATGATGGCAGTGATGTCAGCTGATGGTGTGACATCGAACGCGCGATGGTGATGTGAGGTAATGGTAATGACGGCGGAGGTGACGGGGATAATTGCGTTTGTAATGAATGTTGCCGAGGGGCTTGCGAGGTTGAAATCGATGCATGCGATAAATTTTAGAGACATGCGTGATGAGAAAAAAACAACGAATGAGAGGAAGAAATTATGTAGTTATATCCATCATAAGAAGCTTCATTCTGGGAAAATGTCAATTGAGCCTAAAAAATAGCCATTACAGGATAAATAACTTTGTGAATGAGGAACTTATACTACGAGGCAGGTGTTTTATGCACGTCTTTATAGTCGCCTTGTTGACAGCGGAGCCGTCACGAGTGGGCTACTTGACACTGTGACGGGGGCCAATTGGCAGCTTGACAGACAGCCGCGGGGGAGGCAGGCGGAGGATACTAGACTTTGTAATCTCGACGCCTCACGAATGGCAGTGTCAGGTGGAGAAGGAAAAGAGACTTCGTTGTTACTCTCTACTTTCTTATCAGCTGTTTCTTTATTTTATTTTAATTATTTAATTTCATTCAATTTTCATTTTTATCACGTATATTTAGTTTCCATAGTAATTCATTTCAGTTCCTGTTGTTTATTCACATATTTATTCATTGGTCTTTGCAAAGTCAGTCCCTTGATGTAACCCTATGAATTGAATTGCCAGATATTGCCAATAATGTTTTCACGGCCTCATTCCGAATACGACGGTGATAAGCCTCCGACGTCCATTAGCGATGCATCATCATCATTTCCGTCGCCCAAGCTTCGACTTCATTTAATTTGATTACGAAGAATGATTAACACTTTAGGTTATAAAACATCAGTGACTTTTCTCTACTTTTCTCTAAAAATATACGTAAAAAATGTAATGGCCAAGGTAGAAATATTATCACAAGTCGAGTGGCATTTTAAAGAAATACACAAATCCTCCTCCGAGTCAAAGTCGTAACAATTCTATTTCACTTTCCAACCAGAGGAGGACATTGCAAAGAGGCGACAGCGAAGGACAGCTGGTGTAATAACCTCCCCTCCCCCCTTCTCCCTTGCACACTTATCTACATACTAAATATGTCTGCGTGATACTCAAGTATGTGACAGGCGAACCTTCACGTTGGTTTACCCTGAAAAGATGTCATGTAACCGATAAAGTCAAACTAACATAATGTAGTATTTTCATATTTCAACGAAGTGGTATTTACATTCGGCTGACTGTCAACATACACACATATCGCCCACGTAGGTTTGGTAACTGTAGTGGAAATGTATTATGCTATTATATGCGACAACACTGGGAGAGAACGATACCTGCTTCCTTACCCAGGCTGGCTTTCTGCTATCGCTACCGGCCAACAATACGTGTCCAGGC